TTTTTGAAGAATCTGAATCCTCAACATTTCAGGAAAAAGATGCTACAATATCAGATATGATCTAAAAAATGTTCCTAGATCACATTTCTCTGAAATAATATTTGTTGGTTTTAACTATAGAGGAAACACGAGTCACATTGAGTATTTAAGTCTTCAACTAAGCGCTCAATTTGCAATTCACAAGCTGAACGGTGGTACTATTTTATGTTTAGCAACTATCTATAATGTGCAATGATGAGGAAGGAGAAGCAAGATACTTGATTAACAAGAATAAATCCATTTTGATAGCAAACACAATACGTACCTAGCTCCAGAAGCTATGACTGCTTTATGCACCTTTATGCCATAGTAGCCTTTGCCTCCAAAAGATGGAAGAAGTGACGGATGAATATTAAATATTGATCTTGGAAATGCTTGGACTAACTCAGTAGGAATAAGCTTTAAGTACCCAGCTAAAAGAATGAAGTCGATATTGTAGGATCTGTAAACAAAAGTTTGTTTATTACAACGGAGAAAAATATGAGGAAATAACTTCAGTAAAACAACGAAGACAACTAAGATTATTCATGTCATACACTAAGGGATTGTTTGGTATGGGGATGGGATAGACGAAGTTATCCCACATTGTAGTACAAATGATGGTTAAATAATCCCGGGATTAATTAATACCCAAAAGCAAACGCAGGATAAAATAATCCTACATTCTATCCTGAGATTATTATCCCTTATCTCTCATACCAAACGACTCCTCCAATCTCCCTTTAGATGATATTCCTCGTACAAATAACTAATGAGTATGAAAACTATTCATACACAGAGAAGAGAGTAAATAGGCAAGAAATATAGATGTTTATCATGGTTTACATGCTTCTGTAATAGTCATTTCGCTCCAAGTAGAAGAAACCAAGGGCAAAATGAAAAGGAAGACCAAAATTAAGAAAGGTGAACAAAATGAGAAGCGTTTAACCGAATAAAACTAAAGTTTTAATTAACCAGAGCTTATGTCAAAACTAGGTGAATATTTTACAATAGGTCGCTGGTGCAGAAGAACAACAGTGAAAGAATGTGGTATCAACAAATGCAACTGAGAAAGACAGGAACTTTTGATAGATGTGCAGAATTCTCTTCGAAATACTCGGTTAATGTTAAATGGTTTCTTGAGGCATCTTCGCTCCGTGATTGAAGCCTGAATGGTTGCAAGCCGTCAAAGAATTCAGGAACTAGAAGAAAGCTTAAGAACCAAAAGTTTCGACATATTGATGAAAAGAACTTAACTTAAACCACATCAATCTTTTGTGCTCAAATTCTCAAAATTCAAAATCCTCAAGAAACATTAGCAGTACAAGTAAATTTCCTTCTATTCAGATACCACTTTTTCTTCTGCTAATCATCCCAGAAGAAAAGGTAAGGAAAAACATAAAAGAAGAGGAGCTGATTGTGTTACAGCCGAATTTCAAGGAAGATGACATCTTTTTTGCACAAACTAACTACTGAAGCAGTTAGATCAATAGTAGAGACATGGATAGAAAAGAAAAAACCTTAGAGAACCCACGAGATCCTCCTCCGATAAACCTTCCGATGAATTCTTTGCTTTAGGAAACAAAATAACAGGGATGCCTTGCTCCCTTGCATACTTTGCACCTCCACAATCTGCATTTCATAACAAAAACAAATCTAAATGAAAAAATGAGTGACAACTACAATAAGACAATTGAATATGCATATATCTTCAGGTATAAAACTGTGGAAACTTTGGAGTAATCTACATATAAGCTGTGGAAACTTTAGTTGAAACAGAAATCTCTGAAATTTTCAAGTGCTTCCGCCAAAAAATTATCAAGTTGATATTGTACCATAGAAACTTCTCATCATGAGTGGGAAAGAAAAAGTCCATCGCCAATGTGATTTCATTTTCAACACAGCATACTCATTTATAAAGTCACACTAGCTTCAACATGCAAACTGTTAATACACCTAAGAAAAACAAAATTTCAGGACGAAAGAAACAAAAGAAGGAATACAGATGAAGCCTGGCGCAAGGACACGATGAATAGAAAATACACTCTTGGCAAAATTAATCAAGACAGTTGCAATACAAATAGATTTACAAGTTTTTCTCTAAAGCTCAGAGCTTTACCAAAATCTCAAATAGACAGGGACCTAAAAGCCAACAATAAATAATCTTGAAATACAATAATAACGAGGAACAACAGTTATGCCCAAGTCTCAAAAGAGTTGGGGTCGGCTATATGAATCTTCATTGACCACGTTACTCCATTTAAACTTGTCTCATCCCAATATAATGGTAATTTAAGTAAGACGTACAAGAAGTTCTCTATATTTTCTAAACGTATAATCTCTCAAAGGCTAAACCAATCCTAGAAAACATATGACCTGCACTAGAAGTGATAACATCTAAAACATAATCTCAACTAATATGTAACACCTATACCTACATAAGCTGTTAAAGCTCGGAGATTTACAAAAATCTCTAATAGACAGATACCAAAAGCCAACAACAAATAAACTTGAAATACAAATATGCTTTGGGTCTCAGACAAGTTGGTGTCGGCTATATGAATCCTCATTGACCATGTTACTCCATTTAAACTCATCTCATATATAATGCAAATTAAGTAGGAGGTATTAGAAGTTCTCTAAATTTCTAAATGTATACTCTCTGAAAGGCTAAACTACTCCTAAAAAGCAAACGACCAACGGTGGAGCTAGGATTTTCACATAAGGCTATACAAAATATAAAGAAGTAAATACACGGGAAGGATTCCACATCTATTGTATATACATAAGAATAATCTTGACCTTGAATATACCATAAATATCTCAACTAATATGTATATACAACAACAACAACAACACACCCAATGTAATGCCACACATGGAGTCTGGGGATGTAACATATCCGCGGACCTCACCTCTACCTTTGTTGGGTAGAGAGGTTGTTTCCAATAGTCCCTCAGCTCATTATATGTCAAAGCTCAGAGCTTTACCAAAATCTCAAACAGACAGGATCAAAAGCCAACTAAAACCAAACCTTGAAATAAACTGAAAAACAGAACTTTCAAAAAAAATGTCATACCATTTTTATTGGTAACTAAAACAGCTACCTCTCCATGAACAGTCCCTTCAAGTGTAGCTTCATAAATTGACCTGAAATTTGAACCTCCACCAGATACAAACACTGCAAGCTTCTTCTTTCTAAGTTCTTTACTCACACCACTATCAGGAACTGTAATAGCTTCTCTTTCAATTCTTTGCAAACAATTCCTACACTGGAAAAATTCCTTGCTGGGGAAACTTTTAGGAGAAAAAGAAACATGGGGTTTCAATAAAACCCCTTTAAGGGTAAGATTATTTGAAGAAGAAGATGGTTTGAGCAAAATCTGAAAGAATGGATTTTTTTGGTTTTGAATTGGTGAAGTGGGTAAGGTAGAGGAAAGTCCAAAAGACAAATTTTGAGCTTCCATTGATATCGGAAGTGAACGACGGAGGTTGACGGCGGAGGTTGGCGGCCGGCGGTGGGGAGGAGAAGGGAGGCGGGAAGTGGTGGTGCAGGAGGGAACTTTAGAGAGGCTGAGTATTTACTAAATTTGCAAAGAAATAATTAACATATTTTTTATTTTATTTTTTTAAAACCAAAACTAGATAAATAATTCTTAGCCCATGATTTTAAATAGGGAATTTAAGATTTTCCTTCATTCCTTCTCATATTAATTATCTTATTTTGCTAATTTAAAAAAAATAAATTAAATTGAATTAAATTCGAACATACCTATTCTAGAAATTTTAACTTGACCTATAAGTTTAGAAAAATAATTTATGTTATGGCTTCGCACAATTTAAAGTATACGTCAAAAGCTTGATTTGCAAATGATAATTATATATATATCATAAACGTGATAGAATTAGTGAAAACATGAGAGTTTATACAAGTACTCATTCCCTATTTTTAGCATTGCTCAAATAAGTGTGTGACTATGTATACGCACTTATTTTCGTTCACCCAATTCTCAAAACAATGAAAGAAAGGCGGGTAGACATCACGAGTCCTTAATTTGTCCATACATCAGAAGCAAGTGTAATTCATCGATTCCATCAAAATTTTCTATATCTTGACAAAGATCACATGAGTGTGTAATTATGTTTCAACATAAAATGATATATTATTTTTTGTTTCAAATGCTTCAACATAAAATGACATTATTTTATCAATTACCTAAAATCCAACTACTTATTTTTAAAACCTATGGAGGAAAGTTGTGACAAAAAAATAGCAAATCCTTTTACAATTAATAGTATAATTCACCAATTTCATCAAATATTTCTATCACTCGACAAAAATCATATGAGTGTAGTCATATTTCTGATGCTTCAACATAAAATGACACATTGTTTATTTTTATTAGTTTAGTTAAATCTACTCGATTATCTAACATATGTGTTATATTGATTACATAAAATCCAACAACTTATTTTTTAAAATTATGGAAGAAAGTTGTGACGAAAATTAACAAAAAAAAATTACAAAAAAGAGTTCAAGATGATCTTTAAAAGTGAAATATTATTAATTGTAAGAATATTCTTACATCATAATTCTAAAAACATTATTAAAAAAAGTCAAAGATTATAGTGATCTATTTGCTCATATAAAGGTTAGAAATAATTTGTAGAGTTGAATTTGACTAAATAAATCGAATGTTTAAAGTGTGTTTATGAGTCTTCTCAAAAAAAAGATTTGACTTTCTTATTAAACCTAATTTTCTATCACGTCCATTTAATTAGTGGATTCGATTCTCTTAACCAAGCAATATAATTATTTAAGTATATACTTAATAATACAATTAAAGTCTCTAAATTACAGTATAAAAATACTAAAAATAAACACTAATCAACGGTCCAGATAACTCCTAAATTCCTTGTCATAGACCTTCACACACTTGATCACTCAGAAGCGAAGCTATAAATACCCATAGATCAAAAAAATAAAAATAATTAACTATTCCGGGATCGGAAAATAATTCTCCGCCGTGAGTTACCACTGATACGCCGCCGTGAATGGAAGGAGTAGGTGCCAGATTCGGCCGTTCATCAACTAGGTACGGTCCGACCACTGTATTCACCGGTCCGGTTCGGAGATGGAAGAAGAAATGGGTTCACGTCAACTCCGGCAAAAACAATCACCAATCAACCGCCCCTAACGGCGGAGTTAATGGCAGTAATGGCTCTCATCTCGTGTTTTTGAAGTGGACTCCGATTACTGCCAGCCAAAATAACAACAACAATAACAGTAGCGCCGATAAGGATGGCGATTCCAAAAGCCCCGATAAGGACGATGACGTTCCGATCGAGGAACCTCCCAAACGTAAATTCAAGTATATTCCGGTAATAAATAAATTATTTTTTAATGATTTTTACTGCTTATTATATAGATCATTTCTGTACTGTAGTGTATTTCAATGTTGAGCTATTTAAACAATGAACTGTTTATGGTGTACTTTTTCTTATTTTTTTAAAATTAAATATAATACCATTCTATTTAGGGAGGGAAATTAATTTGGTGGGAGAGAGCTATTTGGGCTTAAGGTCTGCGGATTTCGGATTTTTACAAAGGGGATTCAATAAATATAAATGTAGTGTTCGAGATTTGAACTTAGAACCTCAAGTTGAATTTTGAACCCACTCAACCACCAAGTCAATCTTTAATCTCATGTGTAGGAGATTCAAAATCTAGATATACATTAAAAAAACTTATATATATTCGGATGAACACCCTCTCGGACCCCTAGATCCGCCCCTGATCTGAACAAATCCTTTACTTGCATATCGTGTGGGAGTGCAAACTCAAGCGAGAATCTCATTATGTTTTGCACGATTTTTGGAAGTGAAATTAGTCCATTTTGGGAATCAACTTCACCAAAGTTATATTAGTTGACATCATTGGTGGTTTCTTGTTCTTTGATTTTGGTTATCACCTTTGTTTTTTATGCTTCGATTGTCACATTACTTTGTTGCGATTACTATTCTTTCCCTTATATATTATGTACACACTGCTCTCCTTCATAGTATTTTGTTGTTGTTAGTGTCCTCATTTTTGTATTCTCTTTTTGAAATTGCTTGGAAGTGTTTATTTTAAGTCGAGGGTCTGTCGAAAACAACCTCTCTATCTTTACGAGGTAGGGGTATGGTCTGCATACACTCTACTCTCCTTCGACCCTACTTGTGGAATTACATTGGGTATGTGTTACGTACACAGTCTAGTTACTTGAAAGCAAGGTACTGAACCTAGAAAACAAGGTAAATAGACAGAGATTTGAATGTATTGATAATTGATATTACTAATTGGGTTTTTGGAAAGAAGTGGAGAAATTTGTTTAATTGTGAATAAGGTTCACGGATTTGTCATGTTTCGTGTAGATCTGACATCAAATGGCATGGCCATGGGGCTGTTATAAATTGCTTTTGATTAAACACAAAAGCTAATTTTTGGTTTTAAATTGTGAGATTTGGGGATTTGCTAAGTTATTTAGGTTGGCAAGATGTGGACTGAGAAAAAAAATGTAGAAGTTACCAACTCGATTGAGGTGTAAGAACTATATATAACTGTTGTACTTCATAGGCTGCAAATTTTTTATCTGAAAAGTGGTTCTGGTGCTGGATACATCTCCCCTTGATTATTATATCATTTTTGAATAGTGGTTTTGCTACCTACCAGATAAAGAAGTAAGTTTTTGTTGACAGATATTTAAGTTAAGTATGTAAGACTCAATCTTTTCGTCTTGTCCGTTCTCAGTTGCCCATATACCACTTGTATAAAACATGGTGCAAGCAATAGAAGTACTCCTGGACATCCGGACATCCAGAACTTGTTCTTTTATGTCGCTTGCTGTTTTTTCATGTCAATGTGGGGACTATCTATACATCAGAACGGACAAGAAAGTTAACAACATAAGATTTCACGAATATGTTATGGTCAGAGTGAGCGTATTAGTGGAGAGACAGACCGAGGGTGTGTATGAAGATTGATGTGTTTAATTACTGATTCCGTTTTGTGTGTATGTGCGCTTATGTGCTTTTTGTTGGTTGTTTGAAACCTGAAGAGATGATTTAACTTGTAGATTTCCTCTAGTAGCTAGGTGAAGCCATTGTAATATGCGCCACGGTAGTTGCTTCATACTGGTCCGTTATTTAGTACCTCCAAGGTATGCTGTGAATATGTGCAATCAAAGGAGAACACTTACTTAGTTTTCAATAGTTTTCCTTCAGTTATCATAAACCTTCTCTTATGTCTGGTGGATGTAAGGAGGTAATGCCAAATTAAGTCACAACTGCTAATTAAGAGCATAGGGCTTGTCAATTTTCTTATCATAAAGCTTACCTGATCTTTCTTTTCATTTGACATTTGAATATTTTTCCTTTCCTGTGTTAGTAATCATCACTCGTCATTGATAAGGGTAGATACTACTCTCATCACTTATCACACCTAATACCGTATTTACCTTTAGCAGATTGATCTTGTTGTTGTACTTGAGTAATCTGGGGATTGCCAAAATGATTTTTATATATTTTCCCTCGGTCAGGATTGCTTCTAGTACATCAGTAAGGAAATAGTTCTGATTTTTGCCAATTGATAATAATTTCATATTTTCGTTAATATCCCTATAAAAAAAAAAAAGTGATAACAATTTTCATTTTTGAAATGATTGAGATAGGTTGCTCTGCTTGAAAATCAAAATAATGAGACATCAGACCAGGATGAGGATGAAGCTAAACCAATGGTGGCTGATGCAAATACTGGGGAGCCAACATCTCAAGCTGATGATTGTGATGAAAAACCTGACATCAATGATGTACCGATGGAAGAAAATCAGGTACTTTAAAACCTTCCACTCTCCCAAGGTGAACAACTTCGATAGGGAAAATGCTAAAGGAAAAAAGAACAGGCACATATTTGACTGTTGAACCATTTATATCTGTTTTTTTTGTGTTCTTGACTCATTATACAAAACAACCGGTATGAATCTGTTTAAATGTGATTTTGGGGATGACATGAAATAATGGCTTAATCATTTGTTTCTATTTTTTCCTCAACTTTGAATCACCAATGGACTTCATGCAGCTTAATATTTTTTGTGTTTGTGTAACTCGGGTTCTGTTCAATTCATGTTAACATATTTCCTATCTCCATTCTTTGAGCATGTTGTAGTCTTTTTGTGTTATCAAATTTTTGGTTGATCTTTAGACTACTTCAGAATAATCTGTCTAAAAGAACTATATCCTGCTATGGATAGAAACGGATGTGTTAATTGGTTTATTTAATCACAAAAGAATGAAACTCACCAAGAGAATAATGAAAGCCTCCTAATATGCCAGTAGAAAATGGATTCATCTGTCAAGTTTCTTGAACTAATGATGATTTTGGGGCCAAATAAGAGATGGAGATAGGATCAACATTTACTTGGGGTTTTCTATTGTCCCTTTCAAAAAGTCGTGATGCTGGCTGGAATCAGAAGTCGCTTCAAAGAACAGTAATATAGTGCTTCTCTTATCCTTCGATCGGGTAAAGAGAAAGAAATGCTGCAGGTTGGAGGGGGGAATAGAGACTAACATAGAGGGGCCTAAAAGAGAGATATTTCAGTTGATTTGAGGGATCAGGGATGGAGGATTCTGTTTCAAGTAACACTAATTAATTTTTTGATAGCAAGTTTTCCCCTTTCGCCTCTTTTTTCTTCGAAAATGAGAACAATAGTATACTTCCTTTGTTTTGTTTGTTCCTGGTGCTGTGTTCTTTAACTTTGCAAGTATAATATGCATGAGCTTCTTCTAATTGCGTTTTAAAACATCAGGATCCAGAGGATAAACCTCCAGAAAGACCAGATTTAAAAGAAAACACATTGGACTTGTCTGTGGGATTCATGGGTCATGAGGAAAACGATGCTGACTCGAAGACCATTCAGACAGAAGAGGATAAATTGGACAAAGTGAACTAGAGATGGCAGCGGGGTGGGGGGGTTAAGTCTTCCCCTTCTAAGATTTCACCCTCCCCTGCCCCGTTTAGCTCCGCTTTGCCCTGCCCCATCTAACCCCGTTGTCTTGTTCAGCTTTTTGTTATCAATTGTGTAGTTTGTTCAGCTTAATTATAGGCATGCACACTGTGTAGTTTATCTCAATTGTTTACTAAAGATATGAAGCACAAAAGTAATACCACAACTGGAGAACAATTTTTTTTTTCTGCAAATTTTAAAGTTTAGCTGATTTTGTTACTGAAATTGCAAGAAAGAAATGATAAATGATTCAAGCTTTGACCTGCCCCACCCCGTTTAGAACCTAGACATTTCTAAATCTACATTCAAGCCCAAAGTTGTTGCCTTCATTTATCAAATTGCCACATTAAACCGCGGTAAGTATCACATAAGTATGGTGGAGTAGAGCTACAATAAAACATACCCAATATAGTTTTACGAGTGAAGTTTGGGAGGGTAGAATGTACGTAGAGCTTACTCCTACCATGGCAGGGAGAGAGGTTGGTTCTGATGAAAAGCAAAAAAACAACATTTTCTAAGATATAAGTAGTAGCAATAGGAATTCAATAGTCGAAGTCATAATAGTTTATTATAAGAATATATATATTAGTCGAAGTTGAACAAATTATGATTATCAATTCACCATACCACAAAATATTGAAACCAAACTTCAAAAGACCGGACCTTAGAATTTTTTTGCGCTTTTCTCAATCGATAAAACACTGCAACCAGTAAGACGAGGTTGGAGGGTTGATTCTCTTTTATCCTTTTGATCTGATAGTAAATGATCACTTTTTAGATTCCATCAGTTACAAAGATAGAAGCAACATCAATAACTTCCCATCGGACACCCTACAAGTGTTGTCCTATTATTTATTTATTTGCAGTGCTACTTATCTTTCGAGTTGAGGGTCTATAAAAGCAGATTTTCTATTTAGTACGTAGAGGAAGGTCTGTGTAAATTGTTAGGCTTGGTGAATAAGCATTTTAACTTGACACTATATAAAAACTAGACAGAATGTGGAGTTTAGTCTACTAATCATATACTAAAATCAATATAATGATTCAGCTGAATATAAAAAATAGAATGGATTTATTATTTGCCTGTCAATCATACTCCCATTTGCAAACATATGCATATTCATGTCTTTGGGGGCAAAGTTGTTGCTTCATTTATCGAGTCAATATCTCAAAAGGTCACCAACTTTAAGAATTTATCTAGTAAATTCATTAAACTTTGTTTAGTATCAACAAAATCACTCCATTTGTATCAATAAAATCACTCAACTCAATTTATCATTAAAAAAATTAATATAGATAAATAAATTATTTTTATGCCAGATAAATATAAACTCCATAAATAAATATAATTTTATAAATAAACTTAATTAGTGAAAATTATATTAGGATATTACTATATAATTAAAAGGGCAAATTACAAAAATCACATACTTTTAAGGCAAAATTACAATCTATCCCTTAAAAGTTTATAATTACAGAAATCCCTCAAACAAATACAATAATATAAGCGCTGATACATTAATCTGATGCGCGAGATACA